AAAACAAAAAAATAAAATGGGTTCTGCTAGGTTTTACAGATGCATATTTAAGTTCATGAGGTTTATGAGAGATAAATATTTTACCACTTCAAGTATGAAGATAGAAATTATATTACCATATAAGTGTTTTAACCTTCCTCTTCATGACATAATTATCTTACATATAATATCTACACCCTTCAAATCATCAGAAAATGTAATTTTTCTTTAAATCATCAAACATATTAAAGAAGTCAAGGGGAGAAAAAATGACCTATTATACGTATCTGAAATAGTTACTATCTACCTATCTATCTATCTACCTATCATCTACCATCTATTTATTTATGTTTGTAGTACTCACGATTGAACCCAGAGCCTTGGAACTGAGCTAAGTTCCATCCCAAGACAGTACTTGAACCTTTGATCCTCCTGCCTCAGCTTCCCAGAGTGCTGAGATTACAGATATGTAACACCACAACTGGCTTCTCCTTTCATTCTGATCAAAACTTTCTTCTGGTATATTTCCTGAAGAGCTTTAGTAAGTATCTTAAAGCAGTTTTGTAATTATAAATATGTAAGTATGTATATACAGGGTAGCTAACATAGTTGTACTACTGTCTTCTATTGCTCTGCAGAAAGGAACAGTTAATGATTACTTGTTTGATCAATCTTGTGTGTCTCTATTTGTTTCCTTGAGAAACCACTTTGAAGATATCAATAAGTAATACAACAACCATGGTTAATTTCCTACAACTTTGTCTATAACTCTGTTTTGTTTGTATTGTTCTTATGCTATTTTGTAAATGGATTTCTGTCTGTTAATATGTTTTCCTTCTTTTATTTGTTAAAATAAAAAAAAAGAAATTTTCCATGAAAAAAATAAAGCAGTTTTACTATCTGTGAGTCTTCTGTTTTCCTTCATTTGTCTGTATTTCACCTAAATTTCTAGAGCTATTTTTGCTGAATACAGAGGTTTGGGTTATAAATTCTGTCATCATTTTACAAATGTTCTATTTTCTTCTGGCTTCCATTATTTCTGATGAGAAGTGCTTTCCTTTTTTTAAAAATTTTGTTTTCCATTGGAAGTAGGGTGATATTTTTCTTTGACTGGTTTTAATACCATTTATAACTTTCAGCCATTTGATTGAGATGCTTTAGTCATGGATTTTATTTGGTATTGACTCTTTCGGGGTTTTGCTAAAGTCATTAGATCCATCTACAGGCTAACTGCAGATGTTTTAAACTATTTTTCTTGAAATACATTTTCTATGCCATACTTTCTCCCCTCTTTCTATGAGCTCCTATAACACAAATATCAAAATTTGGTAATTCTGCACAAATTTCTGAGTCTTTGTTCATTATTTAAACAAACAAAACATTTTCATTATGTTAAGCTTATATAGTTTCTGTTGATTTCTTTTGAAGATTACTTATCCTTTCCTCTGTCAGGTTCATTCTGCTATTAAGCCCATCAAGTGGTATTTTAATTTTTAGGTTATTATTTCATCCTGAAAATTTCCATTTGATTCTTCTTTATAACGTTTATTTTTTATAGTGCTTCCTAACTTTTCATTCGTTAAGAGTTTTTGTCCTCATTTTTGCAACAATTAAAATAGTTGTAGCAAAGTGTTTGTCAAATAATTTCTGCATCTTTGTAAGTTTGACATTGACATACGTTGATTACTTTTTCCTATTCAAATTGAGATTTTTTTCTAGCTTTTTTATTCCAAGCAATTTCTGATTGTATTCTAGACATTTTGCCTATTACATTAAGAGACTGAGCCTTTAAAAAAATTCTATAGAGAATGTTGACATTTTTGTTTTCACAGGCAAAACTTTCAGTGGCATTCAGGTCACAAGTTCCATCCAGCCATCTGTTGGTTGTGGTTACAATGTCAATTTTGTTTTCAAAACCTTTTCAGTGCTATTTGGATCTTCCCCGCTTAGGTGCCACCCAGGGGCCAATGTGGATAGAGATCTACATCTTAGTTCAGTGTTTGCATTTGTGCTACACTAGTAAAGCTCAAAACTGCATATGCACAGCTCAGCGGTGAACTCACCAGCTAATAGGCTTATGGGGTCCCTTTTCCCAGCCTTCACCCTCTTTGCAGTCTCATCAGTACTCTTTGATTCCCTCAAGTCCCCTGGCTGACACTCATGGGGTTTTATTGAGTCTGCACTGCCACTCTTTCCTCTGAACCTTCGTGTCTGTGGCCAAGCAGTAGGAGAACGGATAGGCACAGAGAGCAGTGGGCACACAGTTCCTCTTATTAGAGGGGATGTTTCCTGTTCCACAGACGTTTAAGCACCTGAAGGTCATAATGGATTTGGGCAAGGGACAATACTGAAAAGAAAAAAAAAGATGATAGCTTTCTGCTTCTCTGTGAGCATTATGAAACCCGTGTCCTAATCCTCAAGCCAGATGGAATTCTACTGAGCTTCCTCTGTTTGCTCTGGTGCCTGTTTGTACATCTGAGGCTTTTTTGATGCTAGGTTAGGGAATACTGGGGAGAAATGTATACGGTAAATTTAACCATCCATTCAAAGTACTTCTAATTCGAGTCTTCTTCCACAGTACATCTGTTACTACTGACTTACCACAGTTCTTGAACAGCTGCTCCGTGCATTATAGCAAGATTTATGGACACAGTTAGTGTGAAAGGCAGGGTGGAGAGAGCTGGCAATATCAGAGCTGGAACTGGAAAGAACCATCATACTTAATAACCGTTATGATGACTGGCATTTACCATGTACATGGTATAGTTGTAAGCGCTTTTCTTGCTTTATATTGTTTTTTCCTTACGTATGATCACTATATAATTTAATGCTGTTATTTCAGATGATGGAAAAATCAGAACTCAGAAAACATAAGCTATCCCACAGCCGGACAACTATGTGTTATCAGAATTCAAACCCAGACTGGCTCCAGCATTTATTCTCTTAGTCATTTAGTACTGACCTACCTCCCATGGAGTTCAGGCTAATCTGAAAGAATATGAAAGGTACATACTGGCAAAAGTAGAGATCAAGAAGCTTTCTGATAACTAGTATAGCTCTAGTAATTAAATACACAGGGTTAACAAGGGATTTTGATGTTATGGAGTAATTTAAAATATGAATGTTTTCTTATAGAAGTTATTACAAAAATTGCCATGATCTTTATATATAGCTGGAATGTCTGTCAATGCTTCCTGCTTCCTGCAATTTACTTTTTTCAAAGTTCTTATACTAATCTATTTCTGTGATTTTTTGGGCAGTGTGTTACCTGGTGCCCACCACATCAATAAGTGAGCCATAGGGGTGACCTAATAGGATCCAGTGTGCTATAATACAGTTTGACATACCATCTAAAGTGATTTTCAAGGTTCTGACCAACTGAATGGCTGTAAAGTCATTCAGGTTTGTCCAGTCACTTATCTTTTCAGCAAAATATAACTAGACACCATAGTCTTTGTCAAACTCTCCCCTCTTCAATGAGCATTAGCTAGAGGAAGGGAAAACTTACACATAGACACAGCCTTCATCTTTTCTCTCTCTCTCTCTTACTCTCACTCTGCCTCTGTCTTCACCTCCCCTTTTTTCCCTCTCTCCCTTCCCTCACCTGCAGGCTATGGTTAGAATAAATATAGCATCGGGGCTGGGGATTTAGCTCAGCGGCAAAAGCGCCTGCCTGGCAAGCGCAAGGTCGTGAGTTCGGTTCCCGGTACTGGAGAAAAACCAACAAAACAAAACAAAACAAGAATAAATATAGCATCTATTGTATCAGACCACTTATGGTTCAGTCTCATCCTAGTCATCTGCTAACTGGGTAAACTCGGGCAAGGTATTTATCTCATTGAACCTTACTTCCCTCCTCTACAAAATGAATATAATATTAACTTTCTCATAGTTTTGAGGTTTTAAATGATACTCTATGCAAAACATCTAGGGGCTGGGGATATAGCTCAGTGATACAGCATCTGTTCAGCATGTACAAGGTTCTGGGTTCTATCCCCAGTACCAAAAAAACAAAACAAATAGAAAAAGTATTTTACAAAAATGAATTAGGTTGAAGATCTGTGTACATGTAAGGTAAAATCATATTGATTCTTGAATGTGTTTCCCAGGAGGCTGAGGCAAGGTGATTATGAGCTTGAGGCCAGTCTGGATTACCTCTAGTGTGTTCAAGGGTAATGAACTACCTGGTGAGATCGTGTTTCAACAATGAAACAAAACAAAAAGTCACCGAGGTTCTTCCCTAGCTAATGTGTAATCTTTTAAAATTTCATTATTTGCCTGTTTATTTTGGTTGTTCATATTTGCATTTTGCTCTGAAATTACGGTGCTGCCTAGGTCTGTATTTTTACCATTATCAGATGAACACATTGTTTCCATGAAGGTAAATAATTGTACTTATACCTATAAAATATGATGGTAATTAAATAAAAAGAATAAAACTGTCATTTCTTGGGATTTGTCCAATTCAAATTCATTATTTCCCTATTGACTCTCTCATCCTGAGGTTAATGAAGTATGTGCTGTTCACATGCAGTGACCTTGCAAAGCAATTTGTTTACAGCTTCAAACCGCAGCCATTTGTTGTTTGGAATGAGTCATTAATTTCTTCTGACAAATATGAAGACAGTACAGGAATTAAGGTGCAGTCACCAGACCCCTTCTCTCAGCTGACTTAACCAATGACATCATTCTATTTTCTACTGTCCAATCACATTTATCCTGAACTCTGACCGGTTCATGCCAGCTCTAGAAAACTCTTTTCCAAATGACCTGAATCATAACTGATAACATTTGTGTCTGAGTTTTCCATCTGTCCTGCATGATAAATAGAGGCTGAAGCTGATTAACATTTTACAATCTGTATTTGCAATTACTTGGGGAAATAATCAACCAGGCATAATTTATTGAAGACTTTCTCAACGCATATAGATACTGAGAAAGAGCCCCAATAAACAAGATACCTCTTTATCTACATACTTTCCCACATCATTGCAATCTAACCAGCTGAATTATGTCCTATATTTAAGCCATTCCAACAAGTATGATTTTGTTCTATTGCTTCCACTGCAGTGATGATATTAGTACAAATGAAGGTTGCTTCAACAGTGCCCATGGCTGCTGAGAATAGCATATTAGCCAGATTTCATGATTGATGGACTTTTCTAGGGGCACTGAAATGGATTTGGGAACAGAAAGGTATATGTAATGCCTTTCTGTATGGAAGACAAATCATGATAGAAAAATACACACATACACAGAAAGAGAGAGAGAAAGAGAGCCATAAAACTCTATTATTAGTCATATTATTGATTTACCGTTAATGTCTAGTAGAGAAGTGATTATTATTTAATCTTGCAACCAATCTGTATTTAGCGGGCACTCACCGTGTTTAAGACACTGAGAA